CCTCTTCCGTCAGCTCGTCGGACAGGAGGAGCCCATGCTACCGCTGAGGAATTCCTCCGGGGTGAGGTCGTCGTAGCTTTTCACGTCGGCGGACTCGCAATTGAAAACGAATGACTCTGGAGAGAGTACTTTTCGCTTACCTTTTGAGGGGGGCGGCTTGGTAACGGAGGCGCCGTCCAGATGAGCCAGTTTTTCGTCCACCATGGTCAGCAGCTGGGAGTCTTTTCGGAGTTGATCCAGGGTGACGTCTGCGTCGCCGAGCAGAGCCGCCACGCCGGCAGAGGATCCCGTGCCAGGGACGGTAGGAGGGTGAGGTGAGGCGGTCGTCAGGCGTTGTAGCTTCTTTTCTAGTTCCTGCACTTCGTGTCGGAGCTCTGCGTCGCGGATTGCCGCCTCTAGCTCCGCTTTTCTTTCTTGCAGAGCGGCTGTGTCCAGCTGGGTGGTCTTGCCGGTGGTCTCGCCGGTGTTGCTGGAGGTAGAAGAATCCGTCGAGTTGTTCCTTTTGCAGTCATTCCCCGCTTCTCCGGCTTTGTGGGTAGATAACGGTTCCCCGCAGCCGGTACAGAGGTTGCCTCGCTTTTTCCTGGGTGAGCGGGGCATGGTTGAAACGAAGCTTCGGCAGTTTAGGGATGAGCTGACAAATACGTGTTGTCTCCCGCTGGACAAAAACAGACTGAGGAGGAAGGCTGGTGACGCTGAGAGGTCACGGGTCACTAGATAATTAACAGGTTTGACCCCTCAGGTCCAAACCGCCCCTATACGTGGACCAGACCGAGAATAGCTTAAACACGCCAAAGGTCAACGGTCGCGACCACTTTCACGCTCAAAGGGGTGTTTTGGGGCCACCAAAAGTCACCATTTTCACGCCCGAAAACACATATGAAATAAAACAAAAGAACGTGCATCATCTGCAGCCTAATAGCAAAACATATACCAAGTCTAAAAAGAATCCGTCCACCCAAACACGAGAAACAGTTGCGAACATGAAAATCTAAATCTCTCACAAAACCCTTCCGCGGAAGGATGTCTCATCCCCCGGAGGTAATAACAGTCTAAAAATAACACAGAATCACTGTGAAGGTATTATTTAGCTCGAGCTCTATTCATTATCAATAAAGAGATGCACAGTTTTTTTTTTCTATTGAGACATTTATTAGAAGACATGGCGGCAGCACACTCAATGTTTTTCAACTTATTTTCATGCCGCCACTAACGTAGACAAACGTATAGACGGACAACAGACATACTTATTTGCACGTGAGTAAAGTGAGGAAATTTGTGTAAAGTGCCTTTCCCAAGGGCACAAGATCGACTGCATGGCAGGATTCGAACTCCGGACCTCTTGGTTCCGACCCGAACGCTCTGTTGTTACTCCACACGACCCCACGGGGTTCTTTCACGCAGTGATACTGCTTTTTCTTTTTTTTTTTGACACATTAAAACGTGCCTTTATTACAATTACCACAACCATCTCCAGTAGTAAATATAGAGAAGTCAAAAACACGCCACAATTTAATAGAGTGAAAAAGTTCATGAAAAAAGATGTTCATACATCAGTTAGGGCCCGACCCCACACTGCATGACTCTGTAACCGCCCGTGGCATTTTTCACAGGCGTCATTGACCCTACCGCCTGGGTACACCGGATGCTGTAGACATTGTCTAGTCACTACCAGACTCCTTTGCAGGCTGAATAAATAGTAGAGGCAAGCTGGACCCTGCACAGGCAAGCTGGACCCTCAATGGCCGGCCAACTCCTCTGGCCAATGATTTCCCCCTTTGCCGATTTCTACTATTTATTCAGCCTGCAAAGGAGTCTGGTAGAGACTAGGCATTGTCTTCAGATTACCCGTTAGGAAGTCCTGGTAGAGGCTACATGTACAGTTCTTCAGCGTAAATTCGACCTGTCTCAATGCCTTCATTTTTTGTCATACCGCCTTTTTCCTAGAGGTGACATCCTCCAAAATAGGAAAAGAAGTGTACATGACATTGTACAGATTCTGTACTTCCCCGAGTTAGCCACTACATACTGTCAGATGACTCAGAGTCTGAAAACGCCCGTGGCATTTTTCACAGGGGTATTGACCCTTAGTACGATTTCTACTATCCATAATCCGTTAGAAAGTCCTGACTAAACTTAAAGGGAACCCGCTACAATTCTTCAGCGTAAAGTCGATTTTATGCCTGCATATTTTCAACCCGCCCTTTTCCTAGAGCTGTAATCCTCCAAAAAGATGAAAAAGATGTTGTGCACAGATTCTGCACTTCCCCGAGTTAGTCACACCATACTAGCCTCTACCAGGCACCGCGGATCGCTGGAAAAATAGTAGAAATTGGCCGAAATAAAGGGATAGTATACCAGAGAAGATCCCGGGCCATAGAAGATCCAATTCGCGACCCATGGTTTATTGCTTAAATGATCTGCAGCGCTGATCTAGTTTCTTTGTACGAATATTGGGGGGATTAATTTGATGTCGTTTGAAGTTAGCGACCCCCGACAGACTCCGTGGGTCGCGAATTGGATCTTCTATGGCCCGGGATCTTCTCTGGTATACTATCCCTTTATTTCGGCCAATTTCTACTATTTTTCCAGCGATCCGCGGTGCCTGGTAGAGGCTAACACCATACTGGGTGACTCTGAAAACGCCCGTGGCGTTTTTGTCGTGTGTCGTGATAAGTCATCTGAACCTCGCCCATGTTTTTGCAGCACTTACTTCAGCTAGGTGATTAAAAGGTGCACGAAAGACAGCAGTGCGCACGTAAACCACACATTTCCTTCTGTTGTACACGTACTGGTACACTGTTGTTGTTGTTTTCAAAGTGTAGGGCCGCACGCAACATCTCTCTCGTCAGGCGGACATTACAGGTTCAACTTGTGTGCGAAGTACTCCAGAAACTTTTGAGAAGACGGCTAACAGTGAACTCGTAAGTACCATGTCTCTGTATTGTTTACTTCACTTTTGTAACAGTGGGGGGTTTATAGGCGCTACCAACAGATCCGGCGGAGAGGTTAGAGCGTCTGGTTATGAAGCTCTGGTGCTCGGGAGGTCGTGGGTTCGAACCCCGGCCCGGGACCAGAAGGGTTTTTACTGGCTCCTCCTGTTTCTTACACTTTTACCATGTATTTCTTTCTCCTCATGTAAACGATGGTATATTTATATCCAGGATAAACCGAACTGAACTTATGTCCCTGTCAGTCTTCTCTCAGTTCTACATTCCTTAGTCTGCTGACATGTGAGTGTAAATTGGGGTTCGCAGTCCTTTTTTGCCATTGTAGTATTTTGTTAGCCTCTACCAGGCTTGAGGGCGCGGCTAGCTGGAAATAGTAGAAATTGGCCAAATAGAGAGATAACACGCCGAGGGAGTTTAGCCATCCAGTTTACAGTTTGCCGGCCCCTCTAAACTGGATGGCTAAACTCCCTCGGCGTGTTATCTCTCTATATATATTTGGCCAATTTCTACTATTTCCAACCGCGCCCTCAAGCCTGGTAGAGGCTAGTATTTTGTGTGTTTTCGTTGTGTAGCTATCATTACACTATGTGCCTTTTTTGTCTGAAACTGAGACCTCTCGTCTCCATATATTACTTTATTACTATGCTGACTGAAAAGTTGTAAAATTAAGCCAAATAGAGAGACTGATTTGCCAGGTGCCAACCGGACACTCACTCTCCCTGCAAATTGACTCTGGTCGAATTCTACTAGGAAGGCCCTGTTAGGAAGGCCTGGTGGTGGGTACAGTTCCATTTTTGTCAACCCGCCTCTTTTCTAGCTATAGACCTGGAATCCTTCAAAAAGAGGGAAACGTTGTGTAGAGATTGTGTACCTCCCCGAAGTGGCAGACATATACTGTACTTCCTGATTTTTTCACTGTACTGTTATGTTAACTGTTTTCACTGTCACTTCTGTACCGTGAACTTATCATTACACATAATTCCTATACTTTCTCTTTCCTGTCGCCAGTTCCGTGAACATGTCCATTTTATTGAATTTTCTTAGACCGTGGATTTTTGCTACCGTGAACATCAAGTGAATTACAGACAGTATACGTCAGGTTGCTTTTGTCCCTTTTCTATAGCTTGCGGCTTTGGCATACTTGGGTATTGTTCGTGGTATGATTAGATCAAGTGCCCAAGGGCAAAAAATTTGAGTATAGATTTTGCAGTCCCTCAATGTAACAGGCGTACGCAAGGTACCTCCCCAATCAGAGGTCAGGGCTTTGACTTATTTTTGGCGTGTTTTTAGGCTTTTTTGTGTCAGGCTTTCGTTTTGTTGGACTGGTACAAATCAAAGATACCAGTCCAAAAAAGAAAGCCCGATAAAATGCCTTAAAACACGCCAAAAATAAGTCAAAAACCAAACTGCTTGGAGAGTTCGTAAGATTGTTTTCGTCGCTTTTCAATAGCCTGCGGCGCTGGCACACTCGGATAGTCTGAAATTCGCGCTATGCTAAGGTCAAAGAAGGTTACCTTACTTACAGTCAAATTGCTTCAAAACACAGGACAAAGGGTAAAGAGACCTTTTTTTTTACACAACCAAGTCTTCTATTCAGCCGACGTTTCGGTGACCGTCTGTCACCTTCCTCAGGGCAATTCTGACTGGTTCACATTGCACTGCAGCTCAGGTGTCGCTGCTATAGATGCATTCCCAAATACATTTTTGGAAGGTGACAGACGGTCACCCAAACGTCGGCTGAATAAAAGACTTGGTTGTGTAAAAAGAGTCTCTTTACTCAGTGTCTTACCAACCTGATGAAACTATTCACGGAAATAGGACAAAGAATTATCAAACAAAAAGACATTGAAACGAGCAGAACAATTGTCTTTCCTACATCAAATAATCAGTTTGTAGTATCAGTCACCACACATCTAAAATTTGCTATAATTGTATTATAATTATGTATAATTACATAATAATTGTATAATTATATTTTCGTGTTACAGTGTTTGCTTTAGACTGCTCGGTTTATTTACCACTGACTGTATATTATGTTTACAGATCGTGGTCGATGAAAAAGCCGTTCAGTCCTGACGTTCAAACTTCAGGATGAAGTTGTCCATTATAATCACGGTCATCACCACTGCCTTAATTTTAGCAGGTAAATGTTTGCTCCATCATACTATATTTGTTTGTCTACGAGTTTACAACAACAGTTTAACAACAGTTTATTAATAAAAACCAGCCTCGCAGCCTGTACAAAAACATGCTAAACTAGAGTTCCACGATCTCATACCTTCGCCAAATGATGTTAGCCTTTATGACTAAGAAATTATAGATTAATCCCCATGGTAGTGCAAATAGGATCCTCAATTGCATGAATTATGTGTTGATCATATTCTACACCTAAAGACAGTCTTACCTTAACAAAGAATGTCATTATAGCATTTCCTCATAAATTATGCAAATGAGGATTAAAATTAGTCTTATCATAGGTTTTTTTTGTCATATGTTTGTGCATTTTAAGATACTCCTTTTTGTAAGTTATGTCGCTATAATTATGATAAAGCTATAACTGTTACAGTATATCTAATAGTACGTCTTCAATCTAACGTTATCATGAGCATAACAATGGCTAACTACCTATGATATTGTAGAGGTTATACGCATGATTATTTTTGACGTCTTTTTTTATATTTTCAGGTAAAAATACCTGTTATGGTCAAGGTGAGTTTTTTTGCCATTTTTCTGGACTGCATAGCTATGTCATGATAGTAATGTTGCATACAATGTGTCTATTTCATGAAATCTACTGTAGCAGCTATAGAACGTAAGATATTGTTTGTCAAGCAAATGGTATTCTACTCTTGATTTCAATTCTTGCTTTTATCTTGCACTTCAGTGACTTGAAAGAGAGTGGCTTTAAAAAGATTTACTTATTGGCATTCATCAATAGCTTAAGTGATTCCTTCACTGTTGATATATATATATATGTGTGTGCGTGCGCGTGTGTGTGCGTGTGTTCAAAGTAAGTTGCAGTTGTAGTATGAGGTATGAATCTTCAGCTATGTGTATTTCTCTTAATTCTAGTATGCGAACCCATCCGGTACAGTGGTTGTATGGGTCTGTCGTACAACCAAACATCCTTCCCGAACGTCTACGGGTGGCAGGATCAAGACGAAGCTCTCCGAACTGCCCCGTTCGTGTTCCCGACGTACAACCCTATCATTGACTGCCATCCGGAGTTGAACTTCTTCTTGTGTTCGCTTTTGTTTCCCCAATGTACGTCTGAAGGGCAGAAGTGAGTGCCTTTACATGTTTGCAGTGCACTTTATTTTATGAAGCACTATCCAATTGTTTGTGAATGCAATAATTAAACATAATAACGTTTGGACGAAATTGATTGAAATGTCCTATCTAATAATGTACAGACTTCCATGCCGCTCGTTCTGCAATGAGATTAACGCTACATGTGGGGAGCGAGCTCTGGCCGCCGGTGTCCAATGGAACGCTGCGATCTGTCCACAACTCTCTGATGACAGCTGCACTAGACCAGACGGTGGGTACGACTTCATACCTCATTGCGGACATGATCACGATATTTTCTTTGGTTCGTCTTTTACGATCATACAGAATTCATTGTAGTGATACTTTCCTCGTTGTTATCTCTGTGCAAAGTACACGCATACTATTTGTAACCAAGTCTCCATCTACTCTCCCTGTAGACAAACATACACACTAACCCACGGACAAATCCACGCATGTATGAAATCTAGAGACGTTCCATTTTTTTGAAATAACCAAAATAACAAAAAAATAATCAAATAACCAAAAAATAACCGAAAATAACAAAAAATAACCGTACCAAAAACTAACCAAAACAAGAGTTCCGAGATCTCATACCTCCATGAAGTATGGGCTTGCTTTGTTCTCATTAATTATGCAAATAACCTCTACATTGACATAACATATGCATAGCGGCGCAAACCTTTAAGTAACTTACACATGTTACGAGGTATAAAATTCCCATCATTCACCAATAAAGATTCACAGAATTTTCACATTAATCATGCAAATTAGGTCATCATTTGCATAATTGGTATCTGTTGATGTTCCGCCTACCAAAGAGTAAATAGATTACATGTATAACAGAATTATTATATAAAACACTGTAATTATAGAATTTCCTCCTTAGTTATGCAAATTAAGTCCTCATTTGCATAATTTGCATATAATTATATACAACCTTCTCTCAGCTACCTACACACCAAAAATGATGAATATACGTTGATCCTATTTGGACTTATTGGCTTTAGAAGATTTCGCCAGAAAGTGCCCTGCAGTTCCAGAACAAGCTGCTAGGGGAACCAAACTAACACCACTTATTCCTGACAGAAAAAGCTATCTGTCACCAAAAAGTCAAGACCATAGCCTGTTCAGGATAAAAGATGCAAAAACCGGAAGTTCTGCTGCAGTACCAAGGTCATCCACCAGGAGGCCCATATTTGACCTTGACCTTTGTCTTCCTAAGACCTATACCAGCATACCAAATATCATCACAATCCATATAGGCGTTATGAAGTTATGCTGACTACAAATGTGCGGAAACACAAGCACACACACAGACAGACACAGACAGACGCGCCAAAAACAAGAGTTCCGAGATCTCATACCTCCATGAAATATGGGCTTGATATGTAAATGTAAATTTTTTCTTTTATTATGCAAATGACCTCTGCATTAACATAATATATGCATCGTGATGTTAACTTTACTTTTGATTAACTTACAGATGTCCCAAGTATGACATTCCCATCATTCACCATTAAGAAATCATAGAATTTTCGCATTAATTATGCAAATAAGGTCATCATTTGCATAATTAGTATCTGTTGATGTTCCGCCTGCCATAGGTTACATACATTACATGTATGAAAGTAGTATAATGTAGAACACTGTAATTATAGAATTTCCTCATTAATTATGCAAATAAAGTCCTAATTTGCATAATTTGCATTTAATTATGTACATCTCTCTCTCAGGTACCTACACACCAAAAATTATGAAAATATGTTGTTCCTATCTGGACTTATTGGCTTTTAAACATTTCGCCAGAAAGTGCCCTGCAGTTCCAGAACAAGCTGCTAGGGGGACCAAACTCAAACCACTTATTCCTGACAGGAAAAGCAATCTGTCACCTAAACATCAAGACCATAGCATGTTCAGGACAAAAGATACAAAAACCGGAAGTTCTGCTGCAGTACCAAGGTCATCCACCAGGAGGCCCATATTTGACCTTGACCTTTGTGTTCCCAAGACTTACTTACATACCAAATATCATCACAATCCATAAAGGCGTTATGAAGATATGCTGACTACAAATGTGCGGAAACACAAACACACACACACACACACACACACACGGACAGACGCGCCAAAAACAATACCTCCATTTTTCATGGAGGTAATTATAGTCATACCGTAGTATGTGGTGTGAAACTTCAGTTATGTGTATTTTCCTTAACCTTAGGATGTGAACCCATCCGCTACAGTGGTTGTATGGGTCTGTCGTACTCCCAAACATCCTTCCCGAACGTCTACGGGTGGCAGGATCAAGACGAAGCTCTCCGAACTGCCCCGTTCGTGTTCCCGACGTACAACCCTATCATTGACTGCCATCCGGAGTTGAACTTCTTCTTGTGTTCGCTTTTGTTTCCCCAATGTACGTCTGAAGGGCAGAAGTGAGTGCCTTTACATGTTTGCAGTGCACTTTATTTTACGCAGTACTATCCGATTGTTGTGTGAATGCAATAATTAAGGGTTAATGACCCGCCCCGAGGTGAATATGGTGTGATAAAGCCTTGTCAGTTGCTATAACCACCGAATAAAGCCACCAAGTGAGCGCAGCAAAGCCTTGTCAGTTGCTATAACCACCGAATAAAGCCACCAAGTGAGCGCAGCGAACAAGTGGCTTATGAGGTGACAGCTGACAAGGCTTTATCACACCATGTTCACCGAGAAAGGGCGGGCCATTAACAATATTATCATATAGCTTACACGATAGCCTATCCAAACTGATGCAGTAAGTGACCCAATGTACAATTTACCAATTGCACATGCTGAATAGAACATAGTTCCATCTGGAGTCACATGAGGTCACTGGGTAGAGTTCACCTTAACTGGGTCACAGGCAGGGAACAGGTGTTCTTATGGGAGTCACCCGAGGTCATTGGAACACAACTCAAGTTATTTTTGGATTTTTTAGAACTAGAGCCGTGTTCTATTTGGTCACCTGAGGTCATATGCGGGTGATTATTGGGTTGTTTAATGTATGGATTTGGATGAATAAATACCCGATTTTGACTCTATTTGTGACATTACGGCGTCATAAGGAATGTGGAATGGAGCCTTCTGATTGGTAAACGTCACCCGGCTATATGATAATTAAACATAACAACGTTTCCTATTTGTTAATCTACAGACTTCCATGCCGCTCGTTCTGCAATGAGATTAACACTGCATGCGGGGATCGAGCTCAGGCCGCCGGTCTTCAGTGGAACGCTGCGATCTGTCCACAACTCTCTGATGACAGCTGCACTCGACCAAATGGTGAGCACGACTTCATACCTTTCAGTCAGATAATATATTCTATTTGATTTTTGTAAAATTGTAAAATTTGGGACTAGACGTTCTTGTGTCTTCTGGCATATCATTTATGTCCAGCAAACACACATGGATAATGTGAGAATTTCTAATCATTTTTATTAATGTGACGCAATGTTTGTACTTCACCTAAAGACGTTCCAATTTTTTTTTAATCTCGCAAAGAGGTGATATGATAGCCTGGTTACCAAACCTATTATAGCTCCCAAGTCCTACATCCTCTCCGCAAATAGGATGTAGGACTCGGGAGCTATAATAGGTTTGGTAACCAGGCTAGTGATATGATACACTTACAGGCTTGCACCTGACGTGTTGCAAAAAAATAACCAAAAGGTTAATACTAGCAACTTTTTTTTACTTCAGTTCCAAGCATTATAACATCTCCGGCGACACCCAGCCAGCAGAGTAACGCAACGGCTACCACTGCACCGACAGTCTCCCAACAAGCTAATACAACAGCTACCGATGCACCAACGGCCTCCCAACTAGCTAACACGACAGCTACCGATGCACCAACGGCCTCCCAACTAGCTAACAAGACAGTTACCGATGCGCCAACAAGCTCCCAACAAACTAACACAACAGCTACCGACGCACCGACAACCGGGTCTCAACAGGATAACACCCCAACAGTTGGAGCTTCTGGTAAAACAACAACTTCTGGTTTTAAATTTTAGTCATACAGTAGGTAAAAAAAACTTCTAAACATATTCTTTGATTTTCTGTGAATATTGCAAACATGGATTAAGACTTTCCGGTGTTTTGCGGTAAATAGGCAGACCCCCTTTCAAGCTGTTCTATTCTATATGCTACTGGGCAAAGCCCTATCTATAGCTGGTGCATCCCGCCCAGGGTACACGGCTATTGCGGCCGGTGGGGTGCATGCGGTAAATAAAAAAAATGTGCATGAAAACAAAACAGAACAGAACATAAATTTGTGCGTTATGTAAAGTTCAAGCTCTGTTCCAACACAAGAAGGATTTTGGGTCAATCTTTGTCAGCTGTGTGATGCTGTTATGATATATTTTGCTCATGGAAAGTATTTGACTTTATAATTCAGGTGGGGCCATGGCTACAGGAGGCAATGCTGACATCGTGATCGGAGTGGTTGCGGCTATCGCCTGGGCAGTTGCCCTCGGGAACAGTGGCTGATTCGGAAGGGTTCAGATACAGGTATACCATTACAGAACGTACATCAGCGAACTTAATTGAATGCCATGACTATTTTCTGAAAAACCACGACTGAGTATATATTTCAGTATATTTCTAAGAGAAATCGTTAAGACAAATTATAGAATTGTTAAGAATTAGACTAGCAAACAAATGTCAGATATCGATAGACTTAGAACATGAATGGTTATATGCTGGTATATATATATATGCCAGCATACATACATACATACATACATACATACATACATACATACATACATACATACATACATACATACATACATATATATATATATATATATACATACATACATACATTACATACTATACATACATACATACATATATATATATATATATATATATATATATATATATATATATATATATATATATATATATATATGAATTAGACGATACATATTTATCAGCGTGAGGCAGAAGATGGTGAATTAATAAATTTATTTGGATAAGCATATTTTGCCTGGTGAATTGAAAAGCTTCTTTGGATATATTTATATCTATAGATAGATAGAGATAGAGAAATAGATAGATAGATAGATAGATAGATAGATAGATAGATAGATAGATAGATAGATTGATTGATTGATAGGTGTAGATAAACAGATGCCAGTTAGACAATACATATTTATCAAGGCAAGGCATAAGATGGTGAATTAATAAGCTTATTATTTGGATAAGCATATTTTACTATATTTTACATTATTATGTATATTCGTATACACCTGAACTTTTTCGTACGATGGCTTTGTGCAAGGCAGAGAGTCTAATACAAAATACATTTCATTTAGATAACATAAGGATTTTTAAAGAATATTCTGTCTTTTAGAGGGCTAAATATTATTTGTGTGTCAAGTTAATAACATCTTTTATTTGCGTTTCAAGTTACCTGACCGACCCTTACATATGCAAAATCCTGCCGATCCTAACATTTTTTCAGGGGGGGGGGGGGGAGAGGCAAGTCTACATACATACATGCATTAAGAATTACGATCTGATCATTGAGTGGTGAAAACAACGTAGAACCTTTTTCCAACATCTTCTCTTAATTTCTGTTGTAAGAGAAAAATAAGTAATATGATGTGTATGTAGTTTAACATTGTGATACTCATTATGAAAAACTTAAACTGTTCTCCAACTCAAAATTTGACTCACCAGAAATTTTCGACTGAATCACTCAGTCTTCCTCAGCTATCTGACCCAAATGCTGTGGACACGTGATTTTGCCCACGTGTGACGTCAGCAAAGGGTCAAAGGTTGTCTGAAGTCGATATCGCCCCCCGTCCCGGTTGAGCGATGGTTGAAGTGCCCTGATGTATATGGCCTCTTGTATGCCTCTCTTGAAGTAATCCTGTTCGGTGTCCAAGATTCTGACCCCCTCCAGATCCACTGTGTGTCCCGGTGATTCTATGTGGATGTGCTGTGACACCTCAGATGCAACAGAACTGGGTCGTCTATGTTCTAGAAACCAGGTTTCTAGAACATAGACGACGCATTTGGGTCAGATAGCTAAGGAAGACTGAGTGATTCAGTCGAAAATTTCTGGTGAGTCAAATTTTGAGTTGGAGAACAGTTTAAGTTTTTCATAATGTAATTTACCAACTCAGATGAACTTTCATGCTGATTGTGATACTCAGTTCAGTTTATCGATTTATACTTGCACAATGTAACGGCTATATCTGTGGAATTAAAATATGGTGGTGAAAATACCAGTGTCCTGTTGCAGAATTCAGTTTTACTTTTTTTTGTTTTTACGTTCGATCACTGAACACAAACATTGACTATCCGAGAGGTTAAGTACAAGCGAGTGAGATTGAAACTTTACGACGCCATTTTGCGGCAATACGTAGGCTATGGTCACACTGTTAATATCAACGGCGAAAAGGGGACGTATTTTGTAACATATACCCATACTCCTCATGAAACTCGATAATCCTCGTACTATAAGCTCCACCTGTTCTTACATTTACAACTGTCTAAAGCAGCGAGAAGAAGCAGAACCTGTATAAATGTAGTTTTACTATAGATATATTTTAGCCTACCATCGCTATTTGCCGTGACCTGTACTTACATGTAGTTCGCAATGAGCAAAAATGTACAATAAAGGTCTTTCATTCAACAAACTTATTTGAAAATGTTGTATAATGTCCCTAATAACAACTAAACAATAACAGCTAATAACAACTAAACGCTACAAGGTGTAACAAACTCATCTTACCTAGCACAGTGTAAACACGAGTTGAGAGCAGGTTAGGCCATGTTGATTTTATCATATGGATGACATCCGCGCGCGCATGAATTTTGGGCCGTTTCCAAAAAAAAAAAGGTTCCAACCACACTGTAAATTGTACAAAACAGTTGCAAAATGAGCAAATATATACCGAAAGTTGCAAAAAAAAGTATTTGAAAACGATTCCAACGTCGTAGAATGCCAAAATCAAACAAAAAACTAAAATGCAAAGAAATTAATTTAAAGAGTAGATTATTCGCCATACCATACTCTGTGTCATTTGTTCGACCTTCATGACCACGTAAATTTCATGAAAGCAACTTTTTTTTGCAAAAATATCTTTTTTTTTTATTCGCACGCGCGCATCAATTTTGGGGTTCCCAGAGGATGTCATCCATATAATCAAATCAACATGGCCTTAGCAAAAAAATGGCGTACCTGAAATAGTACAGCAACAGGTGAGGTGATTTTCTGGCCTGATGATCTCGACATGTACCTGTACCTAACAAAAGATATTCACGAAAATCCAAACGGACAGACGAATGTGATCAACCATTTGCACCGGATTTTCCTACACCCTGCCTCCCCCTGCTTTGGTCTCAAAATGTAGCAGTCTAAGTATATGATTACATCATTTCCGGCCGGCCGGTCGCAGAACTAGAAAGAAGACAACATGAGCGCCACAAAGGCTCCAGGTAACGATTATATTTACTATTGATATTATTTTCTCACGAAAAGCAACATATTTTAGTACTATCGACATACAGAATGCTAGCATTCTTGGTCTTCAGAAGTGCAACGTCAAAAACCGGCAAAAATTCGTTGTAAACAACTCTATTAACGCCATTACTGGGTACATTCGCCTGGTGGTTTTTTGTTACTATTCCTGTTCAAACCGGCCTGTAGCAGTTTTTCTCTCTCAAGTTATGGCGCTTTTATAGGCTCTGTAGCGATTTTTTCTGGCTAATAATGAGACCAACACATTCACAGATTCGTATAACATGGTGATCTGTACAAGGAGAAGGCTAAAAATGTTTATATGCGCCGCTAGCGTTGTTTATTTCTTGCCCGTGGGGCCTTTCCTTGGTGCTGAAATGGTTTCAATCGTTTGGTAGTAGTATAGGGTGAGCCGATTGATCTTTGTATGTGGGAGGCTAGCACTTGCGTGGGAGGTGTTATCGTCAGTTTACGTTTGAGAAATCATGTCGCTGTGTAGCAATATAGGTTTCGGGAAAAATAAATGGTGAATTGTAAGCTTTTATGGGAGGGCAACATTAATATTAAATTCATATAACTTTGCACAAAGAGAGTGATCTATACATACATGTATATCAAATTTTTGGATTGTTAGGGGGAGTGTGTGTGTGTCTGTGTGTGTGTCTGTGTGTGTTCATGTGTGTGTGTGTGTGTGTGTATGTGTGTGTGTTCGTGTGTGTGTGTGTTTGTGTGTGTGTGTGTGTGTGCATGGGTCACAGAACAGTACTGTAATACTACAGCTACTACTACTACTAATACTACTACTACTACCAAGGTTGTTAAACTTTGATTTAAGTTTACTCCCTCTGTTATATTGATGATTTTACTGTATCTGTGCTGGGCCCCATTGAAAATCAATTTGGCAAAATTGAACTGGGCTACCCAGCTGTCTTAAGATTAAATAAATAGATAAATAAATAAATAAAGGGAGTGAATTTTGCCATCTCTGATTCTTTTTTTTTTCCCTCCTGGTCTTCCTTGACAGATAAGGAAGGTTCCTCGGACCAGACTCCCTCAGTCACACCCTCAGTAACACCGTCAGTAACACCCTCAGTCACACCCTCGGTCACACCCTCGGTCACCCCCTCGGTCACCCCCTCGGTCACCCCCACACCACCGTCATCATCTTCGCCACCCCTGCTGCTGCGGAAGGAGAGCTGTGGGGACCTTCAGTCTCGACTCAAGACGCGCAAGATGCTGGGGGTGGGGGAGGATGATGATGGTGAGATCCACCGCTCCAAGGTACGCAACTTTCCACTTCATCTTAAATTCACGCAGTCTGGTAGAATCAGTGCAAACACAGGCATGTTTTGTAGCACGTAAATTTTATGGATAACATCCTCCGCAGACTCCAAATCTAATACGATCGGATAAAAAAAACCAAGGTGGGCTGAAAAAAACAAGGTTCCTACAATCAATCATTGTACAACTGGTTTTGATTCAGTAGGAACATCAAATATACACAGCCAGCATCACATATCACTGCATCAAAGTTAGAAACAAAACATTAAATCAGAGCCTTTTCTTGTCTCCTCTCTTCATAGTTATCTGCCATCCACCTTCCAGCATGGCAACAGACATCTTTGCCCATTTTCAGCATGTTGACAACTGTCAGAAGGCAACAAAATTTCTTTTTTTTTCCAAAATCAGGCAAAAATTAATGTGCGCAATGATGTCATCCGTAAAAATTACTTGCTGTGGCCTTATAACTATATGATAACTTATCGGCTGTAAGCCATTTTGTTTAGCCACTATTCTATTCCTTGAGCTGATCAAAACTTTAGGGGCTAGTATGCATTAGTATGTTATAAAGTGTTGTTTTTCCTTCAGATTAGCCAGATCTTGGGTCGAAGCGAACATCTAAAAACACGACTACCCCCTGGACTGAGGTTAGAAATGTGGTTCTTTTAATTATGTACTTCATAACAGTAGTGCTGCATTTTTGGAGTGTGCTTGAATAATCTGCTGAATGAATAGAAAATTGAATGCCCTGTAGTGTATGCATATGCAGCTATCTGAGAGCCAAATTGTATCTGTTCATGTACTTCTAACTTGTACGGTATAATTCCTGACAGGACTTGGCAGGTTCTGTCTGCAGCTACCATCACAGCTCTGGCCTTAACGGTAAGTTATAATTAGAAACTATGACCATTAAATCTCATGGCATGAAGAATGTGTTATGATGCATAATGTGTGGTAAATTTTAGCAAACATGGTCCTGGATGGGTAAAAAAACTAGACCAATATGTGCAATATGAATTTTTTTTTCATTCCTGAGGTGTGTATGTCCAGTCCTTGTGTATGTTTGAATGTGTGACTGTATGCATTATAATGTCTGCATGTGTATGTGTGAGGAATCCCCTGCTTAGTATAGTTGGGTACAGGTTGCTTTCAGCCATTTGTTACAGAGTACTGTAATGTTACGTAACCTAATAAAATCATCTCCACTCTAAAGAACCCAACACACTTGAAGAGTATGAAGAGTACTAGTAGGGGTGACCTGGTATGCTTGGCTGAAAACATGAGTGCTACAACTCTCAAAGCAGAGGTTGATGGGGGAAGATCGTTTGCTTTTTATAAATGGCCCGTTTTTTTGTCGCTATTCCCACCGTCGGTGGCCGGCGACCTTCTCTGGCTAATGGATACTGCCTGGCCAATTTGATACTGTCTTTTTGCCACCAGGGATCTGCTTGAAGATTATAGTGCTACCACAGTGAAAAAGTGTCATGCTTCACCTCAGCAGAGGATGACTGCTACCATGATTACTAATCTATGAATGCTGGTACCTGACTCCCCCTTGTTGTACAGATGTTAGTGTTCCCTGACACGGCTACCCAGACCGTCCTGTCCACCAGTGTGGCTGACGTTCGTGTGTGCGTGTGTGTGTTCTGTGTGTATGTGTCTGAGTGTTTACCTTTCTGAAGTAATGTTCCCCCTTGTTGTACAGATGTTAGTGTTCCCTGACACGGCTACCCAGACCGTCCTGTCCACCAGTGTGGCAGATGTCCGCACCGGCAGCTGCAGCTCTCTACATGGACGCCTGCATGGAACTGCACTGGCCGGTAACTATCAACCCTGTATAGTCTTTCTTAGCATCTTTGTAAACACTTTGACTACTGAAATTTTGATATGATCTTTCCTTTCATCAAACTCTTGTGTTTCTTACAGCGGTGGCACTTCTGTTGTGGAGTGCTGCAGCTGCACCAGAGAAACTGCTCATCAGGTAATATATCATCTATACACATTTGATATTTATTGGTGATGCCACAATGCATTAAAAGTGGGAGCCAGGCAGCCTAAAGGCTAGAAACTCGAAGTACACACACAAGAAAAAATTGTGCCTATGGTCTTTCGTAAAATTTGGTAGAAACCACCGGACTGCTTTTTCCACCCCAAAATCGGACTGGACTGCTTTTTCCGCCAATCAGACTGGACTCCTTTTTCCATAAACCCCATACAACACAACACAGGACAAGTCAATACAAGAGGACCTAACAACAAGTTACGAATATCCAAATAGCAAAACATAACAGTGCATTATATACAATATCGAAGACACATCATCATCAAATTAATATAGTAATCATGTACATGTATTGCCTCAGGATAGAGGCATTTTGTCATTCTTTGGTGTAAGATTCAGCAGTGATGTTTATACACTTTCACTGCATTTGGTTTTCAAGAAGTTTACCATCCTGAACTTCTGCCATATGATATCTTGTCTAATTTACTCGAATGTGTTTGGTTGTACAACAGGTGGGGACTATTAATGGAGGCCAGTTTCCTGCTGTTCCAGGCTGTAGGTAGGTCAGCAGTTGTAATGTGACAGTATCACATGCACAGTATTATGAACAACATATACATGCAAATTATTTGAAGGCACATGCAAATTATTTGTAGGCAAATCAGCCAACTGTGACCCACTTTTAGTCAACAATTCCCTGTGATGTCATGGCAATTGCTCATATCTATCCGTGATTTACTGAGGAAAATAAATGACAGAGGCATTAAACCATGAAATGAGAGAAAATTTTTATGGATGTGAAGTCTGCCATCTCTGGTTTTGCTTGCCCGTGAAGCCAAAGAGATGTTAGATTTTTTTCAGAAACATGCATCAATTTTTTCCGAAAACCTTCAAAGTTGGCCTTTACACCCTAGGGATGTTGCACGATTATATTACAGTCATGCAATGGTTAAGGCACTATATTGCTCTGTGATATTACATTTACTAAGGGAAACAGATGAATTAGACTATGAAATGAAATGTGAGAAAACCTTTAAGTGGGTGAGGTCTGCCATCTCTGGTTTTGCTTCCATGCAGTCACAGTGTGGGGTGAGTGGCATTATGAAATGTTAAGAAATGAGAGAAAACCTTTAAGGGGGTGAAGTCTGCCATCTCTGTTTTTGCTTGTTCATCCAGCTACAGAGATGTCAGTGTGGGGTGAGGCAGAGCGGCCGACCGTGTCCTGGGCTCCGGTGGTCCAGACGGCGCGACTGCTGGGCGCCATGACATCCATGGTGTTCTACCGCCTGACTGGTGCGCCGCCACGCAAACCTGGCGCCATCAGGGACAACCAGGACTAGGCCACACCAATTTGATTTGTTGGTTCTTGGATTTTTTGAGAACAAGACTGGCAATGAAAACATACATTGCCATGGTAACGGTGGTTGCTGTTAGGGTTATTGTTTGCATGGCACTGCCATCATTTCATGATTTTGAGGAAGCCTTGGTACCTGTGGACATTCCATGTCTGTGGACAACATTTTTTTACAATTCCTAGAATTCTTGTAAACTGCACACAATACTGTACCATTAGGCTCCTCCCTGAGACGTCGCCAAAAAAACCCGGAGCCAGGCATTCTATGATAGGACTCAAACGTGTGTCATAGGACCCATGAAGTCTACATACCAGACTGGTTTGTAATTCAAACAGTGAATAATCAAATCACTGCACTGACAGATGGAAAAACTGTTACAGTAACTGTTACAACTCTGAAGAGAAGGGACTTTCTTCAACAGTCGGAGTTAAAATATGAGCATTTTAGAGTTGATACAGAACCCGAAATGTTTTTTTTTTTTTGCAAATTGAAAAAAAAGAAGTGGGCGAATCTAAGAACCAATAAATTAACTTGGTGTTGCATCACAGGCCTCTATTGTAGGATCCCAACACTCAATAAGTCAACTGAATGTTGTTCGTCATTTGTGAACATACTAAAGCTGCTTTTACACATTGACTATCAAAATACAGTACACAAACATGTTGAAAACCTGGTGTTTGTTTTAAATTTGATCTAAAGTACCGGACCACATGTCAATTGACAATTCACGTCATCTTTTTTTAGCATTAGATGAACAATTGAAATTGACAGAAGTGGTTAAAGATACAAACATTACTGATAAGGAAAATGTCCAGTGTTTTGGCACCAAAATCTTGCAACAGGGGCCTAGAGACAAGAGTCTTTACTCGATTCTGTGATATTGTGACAGTCCAGAAACCGTGGTTACTGTAATGTTGCTGTGTATATATATCGTACAGTATAATGTTCCTGTGTACATATCGTACAGTATATTTATATTTATACAAAATGTAACGTACCAGATGAAACAAGGTCCAGCTATAACTGCCCTGTTTGTATCTTTTTGTCAGATCAACATAGTATATATTGATTATGTAGATTGATATTGAACTGATGAAATGGGGTTTTAGAGGATATACCTCACAAGTAGACCTTTATGTACTTCTATGTAAAACTTAATTAATTAGTCACCCCAAACTGTAACGATTCAGTAAATGAATCAGAAGTAGATACAGTGACTGTTTACATTCAATTAAGTTTGCGATATAGTGTCCCAACTTTGAAAGAAATAGTAGGTAACGTAAAGAGTTGTGTGGTTCATTTTCCCTTCAGAATCTGTCCTTGTTACAAATAAAACATCTTTGGATGTGCTAAGCAAAATATATCATTAACCAGAAATTACAGAAAATTTGTAGAATTATTGATTTCTTTTAGTGTCGGTATGTTACGGAATAAAAAGGGTCCTTCTGAACAAGAAACCTCAGAATATCTTTGTGTATGTACCGGTAATGATAACAGTATATGTAACGAATATGGTCCAAGATCAACAAGAATGATAATTCTATGGTCTATACAATGCATGCAATTCATCCCACATTGGAGATAGCAGTCAGAAGTTGACAATACTAAAGGTACCGGTAAAATCATTTTCTTTGGAAATCATAGCACTTTTCACCCCAGAATTGGCATCAATCCCTCCTAAATGTTGTATTCTGAGAAATACTTGTCAAGTCTTACTCAGGCCACACCAATTTAATTTCTTGGTTAACAGATTTTTCTACAAAAATAATAGAGCGGGCGGGCGAAAAAAAAAATAAAAACAGGCCTAGGCATCCTATTATGGCCCAAAATGGTACGATAGGAGCCATGAAGTCAACACACCAGGCAGGGTCAAAATTTAAACAATGAATTTTGAACTTTTAATGACACCATTGCATTGAAAGATGGAATAACTGTAACAACTAGGAAGAAAAGGACTGTTTTCAACTGTTCAGGGCAAAATATGAGCATTTTGCAGTTGATTCTGAATTTTTATTTTTATTTGCAAATCAGAAAAAAATGAAGCGGCGAATCCGTTAACCAAGAAATTAGGCCTCATAGATAGTTTTACATGTAATGGCATGGTAGTAAAAAACTATGGCCTAAATTTGCTTCTAACCATCGGAGAGATTCAGCTACAGAAGACAATGAACATCACAGTCATATGACATAATCTTGATCCTGATTGCTAGTTTTTCAGTTTATTAAAAAATCTACAACATTAAACATTTTTTTTTGTATTTTTCATATCTAGCCAGTTGGCACTCATTCAATTTCAAAATTATGTATATTAACATTATCTATGAATTGAAAATGCATGACTAAAGTTGTTTTAACTTGTGTTTTCAATACAGTGCTTTACTAATTAGGCCACAGCAAGTAAATTTTATGGATGACATCCTCCGCAGACTCCAAATCTAATGCGAGCGGGCAAAAAAAAACAAGGCGGGCCGAAAAAACAAGGTTCCTACATTTTCAAATTTTGACTCAATCATTGTACAAATGGTTTTGATACAGTGGGAACATCACATATCACTGCATCAAAGTAAGAAACAAAACATTAAATCAGAGCCTTGTCTTGTCTCCTCTCTTCATAGTTATCTGCCATCCACGTTCCGGCATGGCAACAGACATCTTTGCCTATTTTCGGCATGTTGACCACTGTCAGAAGGCAACAAAATTTCTCGTTTTTTATTCCAAAATCAGGTGAAAATTAATGCGCAAGCTGATGTTATCCATAAAAATTACTTGCTGTGGCCTTACTGAATACCCCCTTTGCCACTGTATTCTAACTAGTAGTACTAACTCTTATAATTACACAGATTCCTTTTATTACTGCCATGTATAGACTTTGTGTTTGGCTGTTTTTCCATAGTTATTTCCACATGCTAAGCACATTGGGGACATAGACAGGAAGTTAGGTCAAAGGTTCCACAAAAGGTTATCTCATATCCTATCCTTAATTCTCTGCTACATGCTGGAGCCAGTGAGAAAATGCATCAGAAAACTAGAAAGGCCAACATTTGCTTGGGAGCAAATACAGCATATTTCAGTCCATCTCCCTTCCACGCAAACGTGGACTAAAAAAAATCAGCTAGAAATTCACAAAAATGAGTAGAACAAGAACTCACAATATTTCACGGCGGTAGTCGTATGAGATTTTCAACTTCTTGTTTCATTTGTAGAACATAAAGCCACACCAATTTAATTTGTTGGTTCTCGGATTCGCCTCTTCATTTTTTTCTGATTCAAAAAAAATATTTTGCTCAAAAATGCTCATATTTTGCCCCCAACAGTTGAGGAAAGTCCTTTTCTTCCTAATTGTTACAGTTTTTCTATCTATCAATGCAGTGGTTTGATTTGAAAGTTCAAAATTCATTGTTTAGATTTTAACCCAGCCTTTTGTGTTGACTTCATGGCTTTTATTGTAGCATTTGGGGCTATAATAGGATGCCTAGACCTGTTTTTATTTTTATTTCATTTGCCCTGTCGCTGAGAACGAACAAATTAAATTGGTGTGGCCTAATGTATACAATTTACAGACAAATGCACCCACAAAAAGAGTATGAATGCACTGATGTCTAACCCGAAACATTAAATCCTGCCAGAGTACAAAACAGTGGGTCAAAAATACATGGATTTCAAATCTTTTCCACAGCTTAAGTGACTTTAATGTGGTTTACTTACTAAAGTTTCTATAGTCTACAACTTTATCTATTAGTTTCACTAATGGCTCAAGTGTAATATTAAAAACATTCCATGACTTTTGATTGCACATTTGAACAAAAGCACACAACTATAAACTAGGTCCAATTTTTTTCATGTCCAGAGACCGTGGATTGGTAAATTCCATGGCTGAGTTTTTTTTATCACTTTTAAGTGGTTAGACTTGGCTACATTTTACTAACTTAAAGGTAGCGTACATGTACAACCATAGACTTTACCAAAATTAGTCATGAAATTCATGACCTACGAAGATGGTTAAACCAGGAAATTCACCACTAAAATTATGAATTCCATGACCGTGGAATTTACCGATCCATGATGGTTGAATTCATCGATCTAAGTCCATGGAAGTCATTGAAGTCAATTCAGAATTCAATATCCATGGCCATGGAATTCAACAATTCATGACTGTGGAATTCATTGATCCATGGATCATGGAATTCAATGATCCATGGCCATGGAATTCACTGATCTATGGCCAATTTGAAATCCATGGCCCTTGAATTCATCTATATTATGTATCCATGACTGCGGAATTCATTGATCTATGACCAATTTGGAACTCAGCGATCCACGGCCATGGAATTCACCGATCCATGGCCAAGGAATTCATTGACCTATGACCAATTTGGAACTCAGCGACCCACGGCCATGGAATTCAATGATCCATGGTCATGGAATTCATCAATCCATGGCCGTGGAATTCATTGAGCCATTGTCGTGGAATTTGTTGATCCATGGTCATGAAATCCACAGTACTGATCCATGGCCATGGAATTCATCAATTCATGATCAATTCATGATCAATTCATTGATCCATGGCCCTTGAATTTATCTACTAGTATATGGATCCATGACAGTGGATTTCATTGAACTATGACCAATTTGGAACTCAGCGATCCATGACCACGGAATTCACTGATCCATGGTTTCTGGGAGTAGGTTATATTTCACCATCGTGCCAGTAGATCTCCTGTGTTGACGCGAGGCCTGGGCAGGTCCCCAAACATCTGAGTCCCGTCCTCCTGTATGCTCATAGCCAGAGCCTTCATACTGGCCACCATCTGTTCTGGGTCTTGTATGGAGCTCTGCAATCAACATAACAAAGATCATCAGGTCAGGGTACCATTGAAATCTCACAAACATGCAAATGAGGTGATTTCTAATGCAGATCGCGCATACTCCCAAGTGATATAAGACACCAACCTATATATAAATTTAGTTATTCATGAGTTTCCCATCCCCAGGATGCATTGCAAATCCTGGGTGGTAAACCTCATTTGCATAGGACAGGAAGGCATCGGAATGATCCTGGTGACGTTAAACAGCTTGTTTTTCAGTGTGTTTTGAGGTGAAGGGGCATTTTATGCTCAACATTAATTAAATTACTATGGGTCTGACAGCAAATAGAGAATCTGTGTATTTGTGTTCTTTTTAACATGGAACATGTGGTTTGTAACGTTACAGCATCAGTATAGCGTTACCACTATAACGTTACAAACCACATATTGCAAAAAATTGAAATGGATCTGTTAGGCCACACCAATTGAATTTGTTGGTTTGCCTCTTCATTTTTTTCTGATTTGCAAAAAAAAAAAGATTCTGGTCCTGAATCAACTCAAACATGTTCATATTTTGCCCCCAACAGTTGAGGAAAGTCCTTTTCTTCCTAGTTGTTACAGTTTTTCCGTCTATAAATGCAGTGGTTTCATTAACAGTTAAAAATTCATTGTTCAAATATCAACCCAGCCTTTTGTGTTAACTTCATGGCTCCTAGCATTTGGGGCTATAATAGAATGCCTAGACCTGTTCTTAATTTTTTTTTCCGCTCTGTCGCTTCAAATTATTTCTGAACAAATCCGAGAACCAACAAATTGAATTAGTATGGCCTTACCGAGAAGCCTGTTGTGTCCTCCTCCTGTACGTGAGCTATCCTGGCTCGCGTCATGAAGGGCATGTCTACAGGCAGGGACGAGGCGTACAGCTTGTGTTCCAGCTCAGGGACTGACGACAGTTCAGACACGGTCGGGTAGGAGTCTTCCACTGGAAGGAAACAAGACAGACTTGTCAACAAGACTGGGAATGAAAACATACATTGCCATGGCAACGGTGGCTGCTGTTAGGGTTATTGTTTGCATGGCACTGCCATCATTTCATGATTTTGAGGAAGACTTCGTACCTGTTAAGTCTAGACAGATACAGTGCATTCCTCCCCTGAGTGTATAGTGAACGAGCCCCGGGGTCACAGAAAGTAGGGCCATCCGGGGCAGAGAGGTCTTCCCAAGGGTTTCCAGGAATGTGGGCATAGATGTGGGTCAGAGACATGCCTGTGGATTATTCCATTCCTGTGGACAAAATACCTGTACCATCCTAGAATTCTTGCAAACTGCACACAATACTGTTCCATTAGGCTCCTCCCGAGACGTCGTCAAAAACACAAGAAAGAACATCCCATTCTTTGTATAACTAGTAAACCACCTTTAGACATAAAACACCAGTCTGTAAAGTGTAAGTACAATACGCGTAAGACCAGTCTGTAAGATTCACTCACACAAGGAATGACCCCTACTCTTTCAATAAGTGAAGTAGGATTTTATAAGCTCGAGGATTTTATAACCTCTGTCTTTACATCCCAATCTCTAACCAAAGCTGGGGGTACTCATTTTCACCTGAGTGGAGTGAGAAAATAGATGTCAAGTACCTTCCCAAGAGATTGCAAGGGATTTGAACCCGGAACCTTTAGATTCTAAGTCAACAGACTTACCATCCATTCTCAGAGATGTACCAGCTGCAGCTCTGGTCATTTCCACTGGTGCTGTAGGCTGTGGTGTGATGTCATCCACTTCAAACAATACTGTACAACACAAATAAAGGGTTAATAACATTTCAACTATGTTTAAAGTTAAAACTTTTGGTCCAACACAAAGAAGTTCTCTCACCTAGAGCTTTCGACACTGTAAGGATTTTAGACCCTGAACAAGACTTAGTCTATTTCTTGAGAGGGGTGAAGGAAGCCATATACATCAGGGCCAAGTGTTGGCGTCACACTTCAAAGAAGCCACGTGACAAGCTTCACTGGGTCAGTCTACTGAGGAAGATCAAAGTGACTGGTCGAAAGCTCTAGGTGAGAGGATTTTTTGTGTTGGATCTTAAGTTTTAACTTGAAACATGTAACTACCAACACAGATAAACTTTCATGATAACATATCAACTATGTTTCATGCAGAGGCATATGTGCAGATGGTACTACATGGTTTAAGAATGTACATGTACTACATGGTTTAAGAATACTGCTTTCTTTTTTAATAGAATATGTATACATGTATGTCTTTCAAAATTAGTGTTTTTAAGAACATTACATTGCTGTTGAGACTGCAAATTTAGTTCAAAATATTGAATTTCAACCACACCAAAGAAACGTTACCCTAACCGTGCAGAAAAAAAAAATTAGTAGTATCCCATAATCAAAATCAAGGCTGAATCTTACTGTCTGCATCTGTGTTTGTACTGGAAGCCCAGGATAGCCGCTCTGCATAGTCAGGAGTGGGTTTACTACGTCTGACCTGTAAAGAACAACAACATACATGTAAATGTTTGGGACTAGACATGTACATGTAAAGGCTATTGCCACTTTTAAAAAAAGCCTTGAATCTAAAGAGATCTAGTATTGCATGTTTGTAATTCCTGAGGAATGCACATTTTAGGTATCCCGGTCTTAAAGCTATTTTTGAGAAAGCCTTGAAATACCCAGTGTAAGGCCTTCGAATACACAATGCAATTTTTTGAATTTACGTTACACATTGTAGAGCAGGATACTACATACATTGCGTGTTGGAGATTAGGCACTTAACTGCTGATACTGGTACATACACTGTATATATATTCATGTTGGAGACTAAGGCCACACCAATTTATTTCCTTGGTTAACGGATTCGCCGCTTCGTTTTTTGCCAAAATGAAATAAAAATAAAAACAGAACAAAAATCCATACTCTCGGGTCCCGAATTGGGGGCCCCAAAATCCACCCGGTACGTTGTAATTTTTCAAAATTTGGGCATAGTTAACAGCATTAAAAATACATTGCTTTAAGGCAGAAACATTTTTCTGAGTGCAATTTGTTTGGAAAGCTAGGTTGCCTCTTCAAAAGTTCGTCAAATTCTTTTGATATAGAACTCGCCCCCCACCCCCTTTGCACATGTCATCATTTTTGTCACCATTCATGGGACAAAACTTCACTGACGACAAACGTACGGCAGATTTACTGAGTCATCGTGCCTGTAACAACATATCATCTCCCTTTAAGATATATATTATATTTTGAAACACGTATTGTGTCGCAAACGTGCTAGTAAAGGGCGTTAAAAGTGATCGGCCCAACGTATAAACTCGGCCTGGGCGGCACATTCACACACCTTCAAAACGATCTATTTTCCAGGGAATATGTAAAAATAACACGACATAACAATGTATTCTGGCATCACAAACTGTATTACTCTCAAAAAGTACAAAATCCTACCACAAACATGGGAATTTGGCAAAGTAAAAAGTCCTCCATGCACATGCACGTATGTCCATTCACTAAAGCAACTTTTTCTCACGGTCGGAAGAGTCCACTTCGAGTAGGGGGAAACAGGTCCTTTTAATTATAGAAGTTACTCTGTGAAAAATACTACATGTGCTTGTGGCATTCTAACAATGTCACATCTTATTTAGATACCTATAAACAGGAGTACAATTGCAAATAATGCATTAATTATTATATCTAAATTTTTGAATAAAATGGTTCCCCCTACAAATAAAAAATCCCCATACATCAATGACTTTATAGTGAAACCCTAGACCATTGAATTTGTGGCAACTTGAAGAGTGTGTCAATGTGGCTATTTGTTTGAATTTTGGCTATGTATAATGTAGCTGTAGCATACCTAAAGTGTATAATGGGAAATATAAAATGGATACTACCGGTAGTATTTGGGAATTGGGGAAAGATAAAAAAAGAAATAAAATTCTTTTGACAATAACTTTTAAACATTCCTGGAAATTTGTCTAAAACATATATTTAGGATATTGTAAATTTCAAGCTCTAAATAACTTCCATATCAGCCAGACACAATAGAATGCCCAGCCCAGTGGTAAGCTGTGTTCCCTCAACTCTAAGAAAACAATGGGATCTGAACAGAGCTCCCTGATTTCAACCACTCTTTGGAACTTTGAAAGATGAATAAAAGTGAAACCAGTTGGATCGGAGTCTTGTCAACTGACAGTTTGTTGTTCGTACAGTAAAGATGTGTATCTTGCAAAATAATACGAATAATTGTAAAGGGATGTAAAAGAAGTTGCTCATGTAGTAATGGTCCTTTCAGTTCAATAAGTGTCCAATATAATGCCTTATATCATTTTGTAACTTAACTTAATGGATTGCTTACTACATGGCTGTATGGCAGGTGGTCTCAAATTTTTATTTTTATTTTTTTTTCGCCCGCCCGCTCCATTTTTTTTCTTGAAAAATCCGTTAACCAAGAAATTAAATTGGTGTGGCCTAAGTCTTGGTAATAAGTACACGCTTTATTTCATGACACTGCCCTCCTTAAAATAGAAAAAGGACAGAGACATATATAACATACACTGTACCTGTGGTTTCCTGACTGCACCAGGGACTTTAAACACTGGAGGCCTGTGGGGCTTGACAGTGGTCTTCTGAGCACTGGTTTCTGTAGATAAAAATATTGTCACTGAGGAATGGTCATAATGTCACATTTCCCTTTGCAAGAACCAAATGACTGCAACAGTCTCTCCTGTATTTCGCCATTAGACTTTATTTTTTAACAAACAACTCACCTTTTGGGTTTTCAATCTACACTGTACCTTGCATAACTAGACCCAAAGCAACATTGTGTATATTTTAATAACTTTGTATGTGTCTTTGTATATACTTTATTTAGATATACTGTTTCTTAATATTGATGTGTAAAAATATGACAAATTGTGCCCAATTCAGGAGGATGCAGTTGTACTCCCCCCTGCTGATGTACATTTTGTACATTTGGGAAAGGAATGAGCAATAAAGTGATTATATTGTCAACATTTGACTCTTTCAGTCATTAACAAGTCTATCACACACACATCACATCTTCACACAACAAGGCCTAGGGAAAAAAAAGTGTTTCCTGTTTCAGTCCTGAAAAATTAGGGTTGGTAGGTAGGGATTATCCTTTTTTTTCTTTTTCTTTTCAAACCTAAGTAATATCTACATAATTACTCACCAGAAGGTGCTACCTTCTGTGTGCTAGGCTCAGCAGTAGTCTGGCTCTCAGGCTCTTTGGGAGGCAGGTCTGGGCCAGACTCTGGCTGCACGGCTGTGGCTGTCAGCCGGGCTTCAAGCTTTCTCTGACCAACAGCATGCAGGATGCTAAAAGACAATAATTGAGACATTTGTAACATTTTTCAAAAGACTGCACCATTAGGCCACACAAACACACAAAAACAACATGCACCATTAGGCCACACCAATTTAATGTGTTGGTTCTCTGATTCGCCTCTTCATTTTTTTTTGTTGATTTGCAAAAAAAAAGGTTCTGGTTCTGAATCAACTAAAAATGCTAATATTTTGCAACCAACAGTTGAGGAAAGTCATTTTCTTCCTAGTTCCTACAGTTTTTCCTTCTATCAATACAGTGGTTTGATTAACAGTTCAAAATCCATTGTTTAAATAATAACCAAGCCTTTTGTGTTGACTTCATGGCTCCTATTGTAGCATTTGGGGCTATAATAGGATGGCTAGACCTGTTTTTTTCACCCTGTCACTTTTACATGTACCCACATATCTTTTCTGAAAAAATCTGAGAACCAACAAATTAAATTAGTGTGGCCTTACAAAGTATAAAAGTGTCAAATCCAGGCCTACCGGAGAAGCCGAGTTTCATCCTCCACTGCTCTTCTTTCCAACTCTTCATAGAGTCTTTGTTGCTCTTCAGTTACCCGCCTAGTTGACAGAACATAGCATTTATTTATTAATAAACACATGTAAACACCCTGTTCTTTGCACTGAACTAGCACACACATTTTAACACATCTGTCTGTGGTGTTGAACAACGTATGAACACCATCCACACACAGGTAAACATGCCTGTCCATGGTGCTGAACACTATCCACACACAGGTGAACATGCCTGTCCTTGGTGCTGAACACTATCCACACACAGGTAAACACGCCTGTCCTTGGTGCTGAACACCATCCACACACAGGTAAACATGCCTGTCCTTGGTGCTGAACACTGTCCACACACAGGTAAACATGCCTGTCCTTGGTGCTGAACACTGTCGACACACAGGTGAACATGCCTGTCCTTGATCCACACACAGGTGAACATGCCTGTCCTTGGTGCTGAACACCATCCACACATCCATACACTTTTTTACACTTACAGAGTATGAGTAAACAGTTTGACTAACCTGATGACCTCTTCCATCCTTGCCTTCTGTTGCTGAAGGTACTGAGAAAGCCTCCGATGAACTTCCTGCCGGTCTACAGAACAACTGTCTGAACAACAGAAACAAACACCATCACTTCAAATGTATCAGAATCTTAAAATGAAACAGCTCAAAGAAATTGATCTACAAATGTTGTTTGTATTAACTGTACACTTGGGTACAAGAAATGCAGTTGTATAGGTGTCATATTCCCTTCAGTTTAAGTTGAATAGCAAAGTTCTTTGATCACAATCATGTATTTTTTACGAGCCGACGTTTCGATGATCTTCATCAGGGCAATTCTGACTGGTTTACTGTGCACTGACACTAGATGTTACTTGATAGTGCACTACAGGTGTTACATAGTTCACAGTGCACTGTTACTTGGTTCACAGTGCACTTAAGCTAGTTTTTACCAAGTAACCAAGTACTAACAGTGACCAGTAACCAAGAACCAAGTAACAGTGCACTGTGAACCATGTAACACCTTTAGTGCACTATGCATCAAGTAACATCTAGCGTCAGTGCACAGCAAACCAGTCGGAATTGCCCTGATGAAGATGACAGAAGGTCATTAAAACGTTGGCTCATAAAAAATAAATGGTTGTGATCAAAGAACTTTGCTATTCATTCATTTACCAACCTGATGAAATTATTTACGAGTTTAAGTTGAGTTTTACCTAAGACTTCTGAAGGGGTGGGTTTGGACATTCCATCTGACTCAGTTGTGTGCAAGTCCTCCCAGTCAGCACCTGATAGAACCAGCTGAAAGGCAGGTGAAACGTCTGCAGCCTGGTCACCTGCTGTGGGAGGTGTCGAGGATGTCTGCAAAACAAAAGATTTTGTCATGAAAAAGAAAGAAAGAAGGAAGGAAGGAAGGAAGAAAGAAAGAGAGAGAGAAAGAGAGAAAGAGAGAGAGAGAGAGAGAGAGAAAGAGAGAGAGAGAAAGAGAAAGAAAGATAGAAAAAGAAAGATGGAAATAAAGAAAGAGAGAGAAAGAGAGAGAAAGAGAGAGAAAGAAAGAAAGAAAGAAAGAAAGAAAGAAAGAAAGAAAGAAAGAAAGAAAGAAAGAAAGAAAGAAAGAAAGAAAAATTGGACAGCAAATTTGACCATCTATGGCCAGCTAACTCCCCTGGCCAGTTACAGTCCATTCTAGGCCGATTTCTACTTTTTATTCAGCCTGCAAAGGAGTCTGGTGGAGACTATAGACAACTACAGAGTCCTCCTCAATGAAGTGGCATGATAATTTACGCAGTCATGTCTATCTTATTTGCATACTTGGGACAACTTAATGAGGCTTTCATTCCTCACCTGCATCTTCCTATTGACTAGAACAGCCCCAGTGCTCTTGTCCTCCCTACAGGCATGAGTCTTCAGTCCACAGTTCAGACACTGCTGCACCTTCCATTCACCTGATGTTGTCTCCTCAGTTAAACATGGGTATTTCTACAAGTCAAAAATATGTGATATAACGTTACATGTAACAGCAATGAAGGACATTATATATGTGGTGGTCATGGTCACATTGGCCAGGTGGTCACCTTGAACAGGTTGCTTAATTCTTTTGTCAATGGGAAAAAATTTGGGGACCGAGAAAAAGCCAGGTGGCCAGTTTGAAGAGGTGGTCACCTTGGCAGGTTTGACTGTATACCGGTAGTATCCTACTTACCACAGTGACCCCCTCTAGTCCCAGTGTTGCCTGTGCAGCCTCCCCTGGTGTGAAGAGGTCGGTGTGTACATGTGGGGGTGACATCTGGGGCTCTGAGACGTCGGCGGTTTCAAGTTGGGACTCCCGAATCTCCACTGAGACATTCAGACATCTACAGGTCAGCCGCATGGTGATGCCTGTTCACTGTAACCTACACATGCCAGATACAAAACAAGAAGAAATTTAAGATTTCATACATCTGGGTAGTGCTGTATATCTAAACCCACATTTAGGTTCAGGTCTGGATTCAAGTCCAGAGGTTTAGGTTCAGTTCCGGACTCGTAAGTCTAGACCTAAACCCATGGCATATGTAACATTGGGGGGTTATAAGTGCTACCAACTGAGCCGGCCGATGGGTCTAGACCTTTTCGGCCGAGCAGTTAGAGCACCTGGTTATGAAGCTCTGGTGCCCAGGAGGTCGTGGGTTCGAACCCCGGCCCGCGGGAGCAGAAGGTTTTTACTGGGTCCTCCTGTTTCTTACACATATACAAAATTGCATGTTGGCAACCTTGCAATGTTGTATGGGCAAAAATGTGGCCGCATAACATGGAGGCCGACACTTGACGATGCCCAATGGCAAAATTATGTTTTCTTCATTTTGCAGCACAGATTTTGCAATGTATGGAAGGGTTAAGGTGGTTTCATTTGGCCAGTTTGGTGAATTTGGGCTGAAATTCTTGTTTTGTTTGTTTTGGGAAATCCTTCTGTTTGCCCAATAATTGTCTTCGTCAGAAGGACTATGAAATTGTCTCGCCGGAGTTTGGGGAACTGCGGATTTTGCGATATAACTCTGGAAGGCATGATTCGACGTCCATGATTTTTGGCAGGCAGATTACCGCTGTTAAGGCCAAAGTCAAGTACAAGTTTCGGCTTCGTGGGGGGTCCGTGCGTCATGTTAGTGCACCTTTTGTTTTGTGGCTTGTTAGCAAGATAACTCAAGTATTTGTGAAATGTTGATTATAATTCTTGGTGTGGTGCTTACTATTGTCGGGACCAAGGTTAAGTTCGTTACTGAGCTTCGTAGGGGGTTTCGTTGTGACTACAGGGGGCATTTTGTTAATTTTTCTTGTGAGCAGGATAACTTTTGAATGTGTGGATGGAAGTTAATGAAATTTGATAGGCATGTTACTGTCGTGGTCTCCAAGATTGAGTTCAAAGATGAGAGTCGTGGAGGTCGTTATGTCCCCGTAATAGGACCTTTTGTGTTTAGAAATCCCCCACCTACATCTGCTTGGAGACAGCCGACAGCTGGATATAGCGGGGGAACCCCATAATGGGATGGGATCAAATGACGTTACATTGAGGGATTGTGCTATAACTTCAGCAGGGGGAGGATAGGTTGGACATATGTCAGGTTATTTTCTTCGGCCACACCAAGTAATTGCTATGGATGACCTCCACTGGAGACCTTAAATCTAATTACCTTAAATTTGAGGCAAGCGCGCAATAAAAACACGAAGGGCCGAAAAATGAGATGCCTAGATTTGGAATATACTAACTGTAGAAGTACAAATGTTAGGACACAAAGAACACAAGAAACAGGTCTTCTATTTGTCATACAGCTAAATTAACAAAACAGCAGTAGTCACCTGTTCTGATTCTTTCCTTTATAACATCTTCTCTTATTATATTTTGCGGTGCTGTCGTGACACTTTCAACACAGTAAGAATTTCTTGAACGTTTTTTTTCAGTAACAGTCCAAACTCAAATAACGTGGGGGGGGGGGCTAACACGGGTGACGACGCATCTGTATAATCTGCGGCAAACCGTTTCAGGGTGTTCTGTACCATAAAAATAGTACAGAGATTCTTTTGTTCTTTAGACCAAATTGATTATTAAAAAGAGTGAAGAACATGTTAATTTCTCAAGAACGATGTACCTCTGACGAAGACATGAGATCTCTGACCTCTAGTTTGACATGTAGAAATTATGCAGATAACGCTCAATGTGACTATACGAAGCCAGCATTTCCTATATTTCTCTTCCCTCTCCTATCCGTGTGCAAAAGTGGACTATTCCAAATCGCCACTCTAGCAAATGGACCATTGCTACTCTCCAAGGCAGAGTCTAAAAACACGCCCAAACTAACCCAAACCT